AAAAAAAAAATCCTAGATGATGGGTTGATAGGTACATCAAACCACCATGGCACACTTATACCCATGTAACAAACCTACATATTCTGCACTTGTATCCAGAACTTAAAGTTAAAAAAAAAAAAAAAGGATGGTGATTCCAATCACATATTCAACAACTACCTGGTGGTTCCACAGACCCGGTGGATCTGCTGTGAGCCAGCCCTGGGCCAGGACTCCATTGGTTACCTGCCCCCATATCCCGCCTCTAACTGGGGCTCAGGATGAAGCTCTGGGTCTTTGCCCCTCAGTGACAACTTGGACCCTGCATCTAACAGCCCTTGCCATGTTTGGGTTTTCCCCTGCCCCCAGTGTATGCTTACCTGTGTGAATGGCAGTAAATCTCTTTGAGGAAAGACTGTGGAATCGTTATCATGTGTGTTTGACTTGTTGTCAGAGGGTCTTTACCCTGGGAACTCAGCCTCTCCATCAATTACAGTAGTAGGATCTGAGTTTGAAAACGTGTTCCGGGCTAGCAACTGGGTAAAGGATGAGGACCTTTTCATTGAAACGACTGCCCTTAGCCATCTTTGATTTTGTTTGATTGTACATGTTGGTCAGTGCCTTTGATACGCCCCATTCATTCTGTCCCTAGGGTTCCTGTGTCTTGTCACCCATCTCCACTAATGTTCAGACTCTGCTGTCACTGTGTTAGTAACCACCTAGCTTTTGTGATGATTGACCACAGCCACCTTTCTCATTGTTTGGGGCACCTGTTGGCCTCACTGCTGTTTGTGAATTCAGTTTCGTAATGTTATATTTTATCATTATTCCTTCACTATGCAGGACGGCCCCAACACCAGTGCATTCTTCATCATTTGGTGAAAGGTGTATTCTTCAGGCCCTCCTCCAAAGCAGTCTTCCAGGGGGTTCCTGGACTGAAAGTGGACCCACTGCAGCATCCACAGGCTGATGCTTCTTCATGCCAAGGAGCTCCAAAGATTGCCAGCAAACCACCAAAAATCTCTGTTAGTTTTCCAGGGCTGATGTCACAAACCACCACAAAGTAGGTGGCTCATACAACAGAAACGTATCATCTCGCAACTCTGGAGGCTAAAAGTCTGAGATGCAGGTGTCAGAGGCCTGGTTCCTTCTGAGAGCTCTGAGTGAACGGTCTGCTCTGGGCCTCCCTCCATGGTCTGTGGATGGTGGTCTTCTCCCTGTGTCTTCACAGCATTGTCCCTCAATGCGTCTCTCTTTGAATTTTCCCTTCTTAAAAGGACACCAGTCACATATTGGATTAGGTACACTACTCAGCTCCGGGATGACCTCACCTTTTCTTCACTTATTACATCTGCAATGGCCCTGTTTCCAAATAAGATTACATTCTGAGGTGCTGTGGGTTGGGACTTCCACATATGGATTTTGGAGGACACAATTCATACATAACAATATGTATGGCAGCAACGAGTATGAAGCACCCTTTATAAATTAATGACTTCAAAAGAAGAGCTCCTGAATCCCAGTTTTGGGACACAGAGAACATTACCCCAGTGGCAGAGGCCTGCACACCCGGCATTCTGTGCTACGGGACACACGGGCAAGCCTCCAGCTTCTCGGAGGACGGACCTGCGTTGGTGACATCTGTAGACATAGAAGCAAGTACAGGTAAGACAAAAGCAGGAAATGATGAGTGAATGTTGACAAGCTGTGATTTTTTTAGTGTTTTAAAACATGCTTTCTTAATCTTGCCTTCATGTTATACTGTCTTCAATATGTTGCCTCAAGCACAGAAATGTGGAAAAGTACTGCACTAACAGTCTGATGAAAAGCTTGGACTGTTGGCTTTCCTCAGCTGATTTGTGGTCATCATTGGCCTCTCGCTGTCTTCTTAAAGTCTCGCTTTAGCTCCTGCCAATCAGACAGCCTCAAAGCCCAGTATTGGGCAGTTTGAATCTGAGTCAAGCAGTCATCATAGCTGTTGGGCTTTGTCTAGAATCTCTGAATAGAAATTTTGCAGATTAACCTTTTTCAGCAGAGTGGAAGTGGCTGGGCACCCTTGCGAGCATGAAAACCACCAGATGGCGCTCCATGCTCAAGAAGGAAAGAACCTGCATTGCTTCCAGCGCCTGCTGTGTCCTTCAGAGCTTGAAGGCATAATACTCTTGGGGACCCACAAAAGTGTTTTCATTTCTTTTAAAATAAAAAAAAAATGAATACAATACTCCTGGATTTCTACTAATGCAATCATTAAATATGCTTTCATACACATACTTTAAAAAAGTGTGTGTGTGTGTGTGTGTGTGTGTGTGTGTGTGTGTGTGCGCGCGCGCGCGCATGCGCTCGCATGGAGGAAGGGGCTCAGGGAGCCAAAGTGCCTAGGGCCCAGGAAAGTCATAATGGGGACCTGGCCTGGTTGTTTTTCTGTGTCATTTGTGAAATGTGGATCAAAAGTGTCAGTGAATTTCATGTCAGGTCTTGGTGTGTCTCTCTTTGTGGACATCTTTCAACTGCATGCATTCATGTATTTATTTAACTCAATAGGTCCATTCTCAGTCACGTGTCCTTTTTTTTTGAGACAGAGTTCTCTCTCTGTTGCCCAGGCTTGAGTGCAGTGGCATGATCTCAGCTCATTGTAACCTTTGCCTCCCAGGCTCAGTTGATCCTCCTAACTCAGCCTCCCAAGTAGCTGGGACTACAGGCATGTGCTACCACACCCAGTTAATTTTTTGTTGCTGTTTTGGTTTTTTTTTTTTTTTTTTTTTTTTTTTTCTTTAGTAGAGACAGGGTTTCAGCATATTGGCCAGCCAGCCTGGTCTCAAACTCCTGACCTCCGGTGATCCGCACACCTCAGCCTCCCAAAGTGCTGGGATTACAGGCATGAACCACTGCTCCCGGCCTCACATGTCCTTTTGATTCTACTTCCTAAATGTCTCCCCAGCTTGTCACCTTCTCTGTAAATCCACTATGGCCACCTTCATTCAGGACACTGGTACCTTCCTCTTGGACCTTCACAATAGCTTCTTTTTGGGCCTTTTGTTTCCAACCTTGTCTCCTACATATATCCAGGGTGATCTTCTAAAAATCAAATCTGCTCATGTCAGTTTTTTGCTTTAAAACTTTCTGTGACTCTTCACAGCCTAAAGTGCCTGTTTCTGAGGTAGGATGTGTGTCCTCGAAGGAAGCAGGCAAAGTAATTCATGGGAGCGTAGAAGAAAAACAGAACTCTTGTTTGTATTTACCTTTAGTCTGATCCTTTAAACACTTGTATTCTGTCCATGCTTTATTTATTTACACAGTACATGAACATTATTCATAAATATGACATGAATTGTATTGGGAAAAGTTTGGGTTTTTCTTCACCAAAAGGATACATCATCAAAAGTGTTTGGAGACCTTAAAAAGCATGTCCAGATTCATTAGAATTACAATAGGCCTTTCTGATATGAATCAGATTTACCTTTGGAATCCTACCTGTTTAGTTCTAGCCACACAGGACACCCCAGGCTGTAAGCTCTTAAACGTTCATGCATTTATGAACGTTCCATACACAGAATGCACCTCTGCAGTCATCACTCCTCATCCTTCACCATCCAGCTCCCTGGGATCCTCTCAGAGTTCCAGTCGCCTGTGTGCTGCCTTAGCTGCCTTTCTGCACAGGATGGTGCAAAAGTCATTGCGATTTTAGACCGTGAATTTTACATCATTAGAACTAGATTCAGACACATCTTTACTAATCAAAATAAGATCCATTGCAATCAACACATTTTTGCCAAGAAGCAATAAGTTTGTTTATTCCTCTATTGTAAAAGTCCATGCTTCAGGATTTGACAATCCCTTGGAAAGCATTTTCTGCATTCGCTGGGTGGGGAAGCATTTTCCCTGCCAAAAGTTGTCAAGATGCCTGAAGAAGTGTCGTCAGTTGGCGAGAGGTCAGGTGAATGTGGTGGATGAGGCAAACCTTTTGTAAGCCCAATCTGTTCAACTTTGGAAGTGTTGGTTGTGCAGCGTGTGGTTGTCATGAAGAAGAATTGGGCCTTTTCTGTTGCCAGTGCCGGCTGCAGGTGCTGCGGTTTTCGGTGCGTCTCATCCATCTGCTGAGTGTACTTCTCAGATGTAATGGCTTCGCCGGAATTCAGAAAGCTATCGTGGATCAGCCCGGAAGCAGATCACCAAATGATGACAATGACCTTTTTTTTTTTCCTGGAGCAGGTTTGGCTTTGGCAAGTGCTTTGAAGCTTCTTCTCGGTCCAGTCACTGAGCTGGTCGTCGACAGTTGTCGTATAAAAGCCACTTTTTGCCGCCTGTGACAATCCGATTGAGAAATGGCTCGCTGTTGCATAGAATAAGAGAAGACACTTCAAAATGATGATTTTCTTGATTTCTGATTACCTCATGAGGCACCCACTTATCAGGCTTTGTCACCTTTCCAATTTGCTTCAAATGCCACAGAATGGTCAACATTGAGTTCTCCAGCAACTCCTTGTGTAGTTGTAAGAGGATCAGCTTCAATGATGGCTCTAGGTTGTGGTCAACTTCTGATGGCTGGCCACTATGCTCCTCATGGTCAAGGCTGTCATCTCCTTGAACTGCCACTGCACTGTACATTCATTAGCAGTTCCTGGGCCAAATGCATTGTTGATGTTACAAGTTATCTCTGCTATTTTACAACCTGCTTTGAACTCGAATAAGAAAAATTGCTCAAATTGGCTTTATATACCATCATTTCTATACTCTAAAATACACCTAAAATAAACAGGAAGTAATGTCATTAGCAAACAAACGTAAAGCGAGCAATGCCCATTAAAAGTGATGTATAACATAAACACATTTATTTAAGAATGTGGCCGGGCGTGGTGGCTCACACCTGTAATCCCAGCACTTTGGAAGGCTGACGCAGGAAGATCACCCAAGGTCAAGAGTTCGAGACCAGCCTGGCCAACATGGTGAAACCTCGTGTCTACTGAAAATACAAAAAAACTTAGCTGAGTGTGGTGGCATGTGCCTATAGGCCTAACTACCCAGGGAGCCGGAGGCAGGATAATTGACTAAACCCAGGAGCGGAGGTTGCAGTGAGCCAAGACCATGCCACTGCACTCCAGCGTGGGTAACAAAAGGAGAGCCCATCTCAAAAAAATGTACTCCCGTATCAAATGGCAAATTCCAACAATGCCAAAACCACAATTACTTTTGTGCTCACCTATTTGTTTCATTTTATTTTTCCTTTACTATGTTGTGAGGGGCATGTTTGTGTGTGATTACGTTTACAGAATAGCTATTAGATGCAGGGCACAGTGCTCTTCCATTTCAGTTCATCTCTCATCCTGATATGCCTGAGACTTTCCAGGTTTTAGCACCAGAAGGTCTGTGTCCCAGGAAACCCTTCAGTCTCAGGCAAACCAGGATGGGTGCTCAACCTAAAAAATAATCCCATCATGCACATGAGAAAGCCAAGGCTCAGCGAAGTTATAAAAATGTAGCTGAACTCACGAAACTAATTGGGAGTGGGACCTGGCTATGTCCTCAGAAAATCTGTGCTCTGTCCATCATGTTATGCTGCCTGTTCATGGGCAGGGACTGGTCTTATTTCACTTTGTATCTTCATGCCTGCCACGCTCCCTGGCATATTTGATGAATGCATGAATGAGGTCACCAATACGTAATCAAACATTTATTCCATGGTGAGCCGGTGAACTAACTCTGCCCTGCCCCCCCCACCCCGACCCTGTGATTCTACATAGTCACAGAATGTTAGAAATTCCGACTCAGAGATGATTACTTGCCCAAGGTCACAGTGGCAGAAGGACGGTAGATCGGGAGCAGAACCCGTCTCCTGACTCCTGCTCCAGGGATCTTTCAGTTGGAGCTCTTCATGAAATGAAGCAAGGGGCAGAGGAAATCATAAGAGAAGACTGGACTCTTAAAACATCTAGCTGAAGACACTAAAGCAGCTCTGAAATGCCAGCATTTGCACTGCTAAAAACCCCTAAGATTGGGAACTTATTTTCTTAAGGGGAAAGAAGAATAACACAGTCAAAAAGGGGTGATTTTCACGTTAGAAAGGCTTTGTAAGGGAGCAAGAAACGCAGGAACTGACACATTTGTCACCCAGGAGGATGCTTTTTTTTTCCTGTGTGAATCCTCCCCACTCCCACCTCAGCCCACCCCACAGCAGTCAAGCTTCGGGTCCAAACCAATCTGGCATCTCCAAAATGGAAGCACTGTTTGGAGACAAAGTGGCCAGGCACTGCCAGCCAGAGAAGGGACAATGCCCCACACCCACTGCCTGCCCGCTCTGAAATGCCCATTTATCTCCATTTTTATCGACATCTCTTGGCTTCCAGGCCCTATTTGTGCTTTGTCCTTGGTCCTTATTGACCTATTTGATTCGGAGGGGAAGCTCAGCCGCAGGCAAATGGACATTTTAATGCACAATGGAAAACATGAGTTCCTCTAGTGCTACGGGCTGCTCCCAGAATCTTGACCCTGACCTTTTTCGCAGAGTGTAGCCAGGCACTCCACCCAGCCCAAAGGACAAAAGGGCCCCGGGGCACACACTGGGGCCAAGAAAAGGAACTGAATGGTGAAATGCTGCTGACTTTTCCTTCTGGATCTGGCTTTGAGACTCTTATATGGAAAAGAAGGGTGGAGAAGAGGCGGAAACAAAGCTTAGTCTTTGTCTGCTTCAGTCTTTGTGCTTTCCCTGCCCACTCCTCTGGCAGGCCATGGAGGCCACACCGGGCACACCTGGGCACGTTCCAGATGTTCTAAAGGGCTGGGGAAGCAGGGCTGCTCAGTTGTTGTGAGAATCTGGGAAATTCTCAGTCCTCATGGGTTCTGTGAGCAGCCAAAGTGACCAGCCCTGAAGGGATGGTCAGGGTGACAGTGAAGAGGCTTGATTAATTGACAGGTGAGCAGAGGATGGGATTCTCAGCAGCCCTAATCAATGAGAGGGTTGTTTCTGAGCACAACTCGGCTAACATCCCACACTGTTCCTGAGCCTCAAGGAAGAATGGGCTGATGGTGATCCCAGGCCTCCTAGACCAAGTGTAGCTGGCACAGACCTCTGGCGTGGTTGACTGGGAACGTGAACTTGGACTCATCTTAGCAATACGTGCTCAGGAATGTGTTGGAATTGCTGCCGGTTCCTGGGACAGGCAGACCCCTGAACCCTGGGGGGCATCTGAAGGGACCTCCCTGACACCCCCACCAGCTCCACGGGCTCCACACTCAATCAAGTAGGTCATCGGTGATTTCTACCTTCCGGGGCCCGGAAGCCCAGCAGACAGGGTTTGCTCTGTGATGTGACAATGCTGCTGAGTCTCCTGTCACTCACCGTAGCACCTCTGGGTGTAAATGGCGTCTTTCCTGGGTCTCTGACAGTTACCATTGCTCTTCCAGCACCACAGAGATACCTACCTTGTTCTGGTTTTGCGAAGAACACTAGTAAATAAATGGTAAAGAAGGCAGGCCGTACTTGAGGGGACATCTAGTGTATTGGGAGGTGGGGAGGAGGCCAAGTAGTCCATAGGCTCTGACTCAGTTGGAGAGGGGAAAACCCAAGTGTTAAGCAGGTGCTTGGTTGTTGTGGGGGGCGGGATTCCGGTGTAGGCTAGAGGGGCCAGGGCAGGTTTCCCGAGAGTGCTGAGACCTGGGGCATGAAGAATAGTTACTTACGTGAGGAGGAGAGAGGAGATCCAGGTCTGAAAGCCCACATCCACTGCACCAGAAGCTCCACCCGTTCCGGAACCAGGCTTCCTGGACTAGCTCTGGAATGTATATCCGTGTTTAGCACAGCGACTCCTGGTGCCTCCACGTTCCTGCTTGATACTTGGCTGTTGAACAAATCAGCTCAAAGACCTGGAGGCGAGCACCTGGATATTTTAGCTGTGCTAGAGTGGAGCTAAGCTGTGGGGTGTGAAGCAGGGATAGGCAGCAGAAGCCGCAGGGGAGGCTGGAGAAGGACAGTGGCTGGGAAGCCGCATTTGGGCACCTGCACTGTCTCCTGAGGGCCAGGGGTGGGAGTGGAGGAAGACTGGAGACCTGCCTCTCCATCCTTTCCCTGCCCACACTCTCTTCATTTCCTTAGGAGTCAACAGACCTGTGCAAACCTCAACTTTACCCGGTTCGGCTCCTTTTCCATCGTCTTGATTTCTGTATTTTAAAAAACAAGGCTGCATTCTATGGTAGGAGAACAGTAATCTACTGGACCATGTCTGGGTAAGGCAGAGCTGCAAAGACATGGCCTCGTCACTGTGACACGGGCTTGCAACAGTGCCCCATTGTGGCATGTGACTGAAGCCAGCCCTTCAAGAACAGGCGTTTCTGACTTAAACTCTGTACAGCATCACCGAATCCCCAGCAGATGTCGCTGACGTCTCACATTTTGGTCAGGCCAGCAGCGAGCACCTCAGTCAACAAATACTTATTAAGCAGTGAACGTGCATTGTGCGCCAGGCTGAGTACTTTGTAGCTAAAAATTCCTGGGGCAGGAAGAAGAGTTACTTAAATGAGGAGGAGAGAAGAGATCCAGGTCAGTTTTTGATGACAAAAGAAGGTAACATATGAAAATAAGGGACTGGCCGGGCGCGGTGGCTCACGCCTGTAATCCCAGCACTTTGGGAGGCCGAGGCGGGTGGGTCACGAGGTCAAGAGATCGAGACCATCCTGGTCAACATGGTGAAACCCCGTCTCTACTAAAACTACAAAAAATTAGCTGGGCATGGTGGCACGTGCCTGTAATCCCAGCTACTCAGGAGGCTGAGGCAGGACAATTGCCTGAACTCAGGAGGCGGAGGTTGCGGTGAGCCGAGATCGCGCCATTGCACTCCAGCCTGGGTAACAAGAGCGAAACTCCCTCCCAAAAAAAAAAAAAAAAAAAAAAAGAAAATAAGGGACTGTCTGGAAAGTTCTTTCCCACTGAGGTAGAAGTTTGTTTCTCTGTGCAATGTGAAATTGGAATTGAATGCCTGGGACCACCTTGAAGCTTGTTTTGAAGGCCTATTATTGCATGTCTTTTAGACAGATTTTATTTCAGCTTGGCTAACTGAAGACTCTGGAATCTCTAATGACAGAATCATATTCCTGCATTTCTTCTCGGAAGGAAATTCCGAATGAGCAGGCAGCATTAACAAAACCGTGAAGTCAAAGTTGAAACTACGGTTGCTAGAGGAAGAGTGTTGAGACCCCGTGAGGTGGCTGCCCTGAGACGGTTTGCTGCCCAAGGGGGTGGTGTCTATTTGGCTGGACTTGGAGAGGTTCTGTGTGTTGAAGTTGCTCCACATGGCCGTGCTGAGAATGCTTGGGGCTTGGACCTGGAGGTCTGAAGCGTCATTATTTAGCAAGTATTCATCCAGCACAACACCTCAGATCATAGAAGGCTTTGACTCTGGTGAAATCCCAGCTGTGATGAGGTAGACTTTGTACAGACTTGGTACAAAGGGACTGTTTGGTTCCGATCCAAGTGTAACGGACACTGCAAACCAAATACGTCCTGAATCGAGTTCCTGATATTCTCCTTCAAACCTGCCACCTCCAACGTCTTTCTCATTCCAATTAGTTGCAATTCCAGTGTTTCAGTGGGCCAAACCAAAAATCTTGTGGTCAACGCTTAAAACTGTCCTCTTTCTCCATATCTGATTTATCAGCAAACACTATCAGATCTATCTTTCTAAATATTCCACACTCTAATGTCATGTCACCCCATGCCACCAGCTGGGGGAAGTCACCATTGTATTTGCTTGCATTATTGCAATAAGCTCTCTGATTTCTCTACTTCTACCTTTGCCCGTATTTGGTCTGAAATTCATTAGCCAGAGTGATCATGTCCTTCTCTGCTTAAAATCTTCCAGTGGTTTCTCATCTGACTTAAGATAAACGTCAAGGCTCCACATGATCTGGCCCCCGTTATCTCTGACCCCCTCCACTTCTCCTCCTTTCCTGACTGACTCCAGCCGCACCAGGATCCTCATTGATTCCTGAACTCCAAGGGGCACCCTCGGCACCTCTGAATTTGATGTTCCCTCTGCCCAGAATGCTTTTTCCCCAGGGTTTTGTGCAGGTGGTTCCCTCGCATCCTTCAGGTCTTCCCAGCAAAGCTACCTGAGTTTCTCATGGCTGCTGCAGCAAAATGCCACACGCTGGGTGGCTCAGACGACAGAAACGTATTGCTTTGCAGTTCTGGAGGCTGGAAGTCTGAGATCAAGGTGCTGGCAGGGTCTGTTGCTTTTGAGGGCTGTGAAGGAAACGTCGGCTCCAGGTACTCCCCTCCAGCCCCCACCCCCAGTGAGATGGACACCTTCATGTTCACATGGGTGTTCTCCCTGCCTGTGTCTGTCTCCAAGTTTCCTTGTTAGGAGAACACCAGTCACACTGGATTCAGGTCCACCCTAAAATCTCGTTTTCAGATGATTACCTCTGCAAAGACCCTATCCCAAAAAAGGTCATATTCTGAGGTAATAGGGATTGGGACTTTAAATATTAAATTCTAGGAGGACATAGTTCAACTCAAAGACTTTCCCTGGTTACCCTACTTCAAATCCCATGAAGCCTGCCTAGCATTCCCTAACTCCCTTCCAAGCCTTAGCTTTTTGCTCGAGAACGTTATTACTATCGAATGTGCTGCCACGTGTTACTTACCTGTTTTGTTTATGGTCTATCTTTTCCCTTGGATCAAAGCTCCACGAAGAAGGGGTCTTTGTTCATGGTTGTTTTCCCATCACCTAGAATAGTATCTGACAGTCAGTAGATGACCAGTACCTAGGATAGAAGATGGAGCTGATGAGGGCTGATGCAGACTAGTGTTAGTGAGCTAATACTAGCATGTAGAGAGAGGTGGAGGGGAAGTCAGCTATTGATTGATTTAAGGAAGAAAAACATCATGCGAGCATAATATAGGGCCCAGGGTGAACCATGCCTTTTTTGGGCCTCTGCTGATTTTTCACTTACAAAGGGGACTTCATCTCAACCCAGGGCTCAGAGTGCAGGCTCTGCCCTTTAGCTTGCAGACTGAGTTCTAAATGAAACCAGAGAAAATTTCCCCCAAGCACAGAGCACACCACGGAGCACAGTGAGCAGCCTGTTCTTCTCAGGCCCTTGTTAGAAATGATGATGCTTCCATATGGCAGACCGGCAGCCCAAGGCTTGGAAGGGGGGCTGCTGTTCAGGGGTTCCTGGCCTGGAGTTTCCGCAGAGGGGCAGCAGGGAAAGGCATGGGGTGGCACTTAGCAAGAGTGCTTCGCCCAGTCCTCAGAGAAGTTGTGGTCCAAGGTCTAGTCAGCATTGTTGCTTGCTGTGTTAGCAATGTTACTAATAACACGAATACTAACAGGAATATCATCCCAACTTGGCAAGCTACAGCCAGACATCTTTATTCAGATAAATCAGCCAATACTCAGGGAGCTGTTGCTTCATCCTGGCATCATGCAAGCCATGAGGGGATTCCAAAAGGAAATCTCTCATATTTGTATTGCACTTTAGCATGAACAAAGAACTCACACGTGCATTGTCCGTTTCATTCTCACAACTGCCCTGTGATAGAGATGTTCTATTATCTTGACAATAAGGGGAGTGAGGATCAGAGAAGTCAAATGACTTACCCACAGCCATGTATAGTCAATGACTGAGGAAAAATGTGGGTACACATTTTCTGGCATGCATCCTGTATTAATAACAGGCCAGGCATGGTGGCTCATGCCTGTAATCCCAGCACTTTAGGAGGCTGAGGCTGGAGGATGGCTTAAGCCCAGGAGTTTGAGACCAGCCTGAGCAACACAATGAGACATCATCTCTACTATATATCTATAAGCCCAGTGTGGTGGCGCTCACCTGTAGTCCTAGCTACTTAGGAGGCTGAAGCAAGAGGATCCCTTGAGTCCTTGAGTTCAAGGCTGCAGTGAGCTACAATCACACCGCTGAACTCCACTCTGGGTGACAGAGTGAGACCTTGTCTTTAAAGATACACACACACACACACACACACACACACACACACACACACACAGTATCATTAATTGGGTGTGAACTATGTACCAGGCATTGTATTTAGCACTTTATATGCACTTTCTCATTTTACTTTTTGTACAATCTTGTGAGGTAGGGAGCATTTTATGAGATGCAGAAACAGCAGCCAAGAGCAGGGTAGAAACCTCCGTCAGTTCTCCCAGCTCTTGATAATGGAAGGTGGTTCCTGAAAGAGAGTAGCTGGTGCAACCTGCTGCAGGGATTCAGATAAGAGATGGGTGGGGGGGTGCTGGTGTCAGATGGGTTGTCCGGGAGGGCTTCAGAGTGCACCAGTCATTGTTTGGTAGGTAGAGAAGGAGTTCTGGGCACACTGTGTTGAGTGAGCAGAGAAGGGACAGGCCAGACCTGAGAGCTGGGGCCTGGCAGGGAGGCTGGGAGATGAGGCAGGATGGGGCTGGACAGCGGGAGGCCAGGAGAGGAGCCAGGCAGACCCAGTCCCTATTATTAGGGGGCAGTAGCCAGCTTGGCGCTTGAAAGCAGGCCCTGATGCATTGATTCCAGAGGCTTTCCTATTTGTTTATTGCAGGCATTCATCCCTGGTAGGACTGTGGAGTCAGCAGTGGGCACAGGACAGGGAAGGGGTGAGGTGTTCCTTTCCGGCATCCTCCCAAGGCCTTTTCCCTTCCAGCTTCTGAGGCCTAGCCCAGGTCAATTGAATACAAAGGAGCATGAACAGTTCTTATTTCCTACATTACTCAAGTCACTTAAAAAAAAAAATCCACCAA